ACGTTCTGACCATCTTATATATACCAGACTACCTCCATATCTAGTAAATGATAGGGCTATCTTGAAGGCATGCACCACCTTTGGCTTACCTCGCCGACCATATTTTATCCGGAAAGTCACGTCTGAGAGACGATCCACTATGTCATATGTGCCTTCCCATGGAGAAAACAACTTAGGAGACTTCCCTTTGGTCTTCCTGGGATTATACAACCACACCTTGTCTCCTGTTACAAAGCTGACTTCAGTAGATCTCTTATCATAACATAGCTTCATGGAATCAGCAGACTTTTTAAGTTTGAACGCACTTGATGGTGAATAACGCCCATCCTTTCCGATAATACTTTCACAAACTTCGACACGTTTTCAAGCAACCCTTCATTAAATGGACGTCCTGTTAACAGATCCACTGGCAACCGAAGTTCCCGACCAAACATCAACTTTGCTAGAGTGTATCGAGTGGTTTCATGCTCTGCTGTCCTATAGGCCATCAACAGTGGAGGGAGTAAGACATGCCAGTCATCTTGGTGGCTATTACAGAATTTTGCCAATTCCTGTCCAAGTATCCAATTGTACTTTTCGACCATCAGACTGTGGGTGTAGTGTCCTTGTCCTGGTCTTTCGTGTGCTAAACAACTTGCAGCATTCATGGAACACAGCTGATTCACATTTATGGTCTTGATCTGAATGCAGTTCGTATAGAATACCAAACCTGAAGAAGAAATCACTAATAGCCGAAGATACAGTTCTAGCTTCCTGACTTGGTACTGCATATGCCTCAGTCCACTTGGTGAAATAATCCATCACCACACAAATGTACGTGTTTCCGGCACGAGTTTGGGGCAATGGACCAGCAATGTCAGTGACTACTCTTTCCATTGGTGCACCAACTTGATATAACTTCATTGGAGCACGTCCCTTATGCTTGGGACCCTTTTAGCACAACATGTGCTGCAGGTCCTGCACCATTCGTCTACATCTTGCCTCATACCTATCAAGTAAAATCTCTGCCATATCAATATCTTCTTAGCTCCAAGATGTCCTCCTGTTAAACTATCATGGGATTGATGCAGCACAACATCCCATAACTTTTTCGGTATAACTGTTGCCAGGTCATCACTTTCCCATCTGCAGTTTTCCATCTCCAGACAAGAATACCATCTTCAAGCTTCAACTGGTCCAATTGTGCCCAATAGTTCTTTGTCACAGGGCTTAAGCTACACACCTTCTCCCAAGCAGGGTGCAAAACACTTGCTTGTAGAAAATCCATTAGTGACTTCAAATCTTGGTCTTTCTCCTGTTCTGCTTTAGTATCTACACTTGGTTCCACTTCACCATCATCAACTCTTTCAGTCACCTGGTTAGTTCAACTTCTCTTTTGCAGCAATGTCTGCAGCCATTTTTGCAGGGTTCTTGGCTCAGTTCGTCGGCATTTCCATGAAATTTTCCTTCTCTATATTCAATATCATAGTTATACCGGTCTATCTTTCTGATCCAACGTGCCAATTGTCCCTCTGGATTCTTTAATGATCTTAACAAGCGTAATGCAGCATGGTCTGTCCTGATGGTAAACCTGGCACCATAAAGGTAAGTAT